ATACACACGAGAACTCAAGAATCTCATTTTTAGACCGATATTTCTGCACTACCTTTGTTAGAGGAGCTTACAAAACTTGAACAAATGGAACATTTCAGAGAACTGAAACAGAAGTGTCCTAAAAGGTCTAGCCATTGATTATGCTAGTTGTGTCATTTTGTTCACCTCCGATCAAAATGTCAAATCAAGAAAGAAGGGTATGCCAAGATCTTCACGATGACCGAATCGATGAAACAAACCTTAATATCCACCACTAAACCAACTTTTCGATCTTGATATTTGTCAAAGGTTTGCAGCTATCAAATATTAAAATAGCACTTGATTCTTTTGATATCCAATGAACTCCTGTTTTATGATTTGCTTCAATTGTGAAACCTACAAGGAGGCAATATTTTTCAAAACTCCTTTTGATATTTTTCAAAATTTTGAAAATTCAAAGAAAAAAAGCATTTTCAAACAAGATGAGTTCTCTGGAAGCATGTCTTGGAAATCAACGAATATCTCTCTGAAGCTCAAGATTAAAACTAGGGCAGGAGAAGCCAAATTTTTTGGGTAAAATTTGTTGGAGCAAGATCAACATTTTGTACATCAGATTTAAGCATGTTGAAGAATCCAAGATCAAGAATAAGAAATTCAAGATTCTAGGGTCAGGAGTCATCAAGACTGACAACCATAAATTGAGATTTCTTTCTAAACCCTAACATATTTCGCATATGCATCAACACATGCATACATTACACATGAAATTTGCATCTTTGCATTCATCATCATGTGAAATTCAACACATGCCAAGATGAAATTTGTCCTCTTTTGAGGACAAATTCAATAAAACAACAAATAAATTTCATCTTGGCATACATCAAACATCCATCATCATGATAGTTGCATCCATATATATTTTACAGATCTTTCAGGAGAAGATGAGATTAAAAGACAACAAGGCACCCTCATCAAGAGGGAACAATCATCTTTAGATTCAACATTTCTGATATAAATTGTGTCTCGCTTGAGACAGTCTCATTTAATACAGATGATTTGTCTCACTTGAGATTGTTTTACTTGAAAGAATATTTATTTCCCTTGAGATTGTCATTCTTAAAACAGACCTTGTCTCACTTGAGACTATTTTACTTGAAAGAAGATTTATTTCCCTTGAGATTGTCATTCTTAAAACAGACCTTGTCTCACTTGAGACTGTTTTACTTGAAAGAATATTTATTTCCCTTAAGATTGTCATTCTTAAAACAAGCCTTGTCTTCCTTGAGACTGTTTTACTTGAAAGAAGATTTATTTCCCTTGAGATTGTCATTCTTAAAACGGACTTTGTCTCACTTGAGACTGTTTTACTTGAAAGAGGATTTATTTCCCTCAAGATTGTTTTTCTTAAAACAGACTTTGTCTCACTTGAGACTGTTTTACTCGAAAGAAGATTTATTTCCCTCAAGATTGTTTTTCTTAAAACAGACTTTGTCTCACTTGAGGCTGTTTTACTCGAAAGAAGATTTATTTCCCTCAAGATTTTTTCTTAAAACAAGATTTTATCTCGCTTGAGATAGTTTCCCTCGAAACAAATTTTTTTTGTCTCCCTTGAGATAGTGTCTCTTGAAACATAAACATTGAAAACATTTCCCTTGAAATGAATTTTGTCTCCCTTGAGACAGTTTCTCTTGAAACAAAATTTTGTCTCCCTTGAGACAGTTTCTCTTGAAACATAACATTGAAAACATTTCCCTTGAAATGAATTTTGTCTCTCTTGAGATAGTTTCCCTTGAAACAAATTTTGTCTCCCTTGAGGCAGTTTCTCTTGAAACATAAACATTGAAAACATTTCCCTTGAAATGAATTTTGTCTCTCTTGAGATAGTTTCCCTTGAAACAAATTTTGTCTCCCTTGAGACAGTTTCTCTTGAAACATAAACTTTGAAAACAGTTTCCCTTGAAACAAAACCTTTGAATATTTTTCTCTTGAAACAAAATTTTGCCTCCCTGGAGACAGTTTCTCTTGAAAAAAAATCCTTTGAAATCGTTTTCTCTTGAAACACAAAAAACCTTTGAAATCGTTTCTCTGGGAACACAAAAAGAAAACCTTTGAAATTGTTTCTCTTGAAACAAAAAAAAGAAAACCTTTGAACATGTTTCTCTTGAAACACCAAAGCTTTGAGTTCGATTTCAATTTCACAACGAAAGATATCGTGCTCAGAAGTTTCTAATTCATCTCAACCTCACGACGAGGGAGACATTCCGTTATTTAAATTAACAAACCAGTTTCAATAGCGTGTTTTAACTCTACGACAGAGGATATCCGATATGGATGAAATTGGTGTCTATTAATCTTTGCTCTATTTTCGTTACACAATAATGAGCAAAGAGGGGAAGCTGTAGACACCCCATTTCATCCAAATATATATGCGTTACATTCATTTACGTGTATATATTATAATCGGCATATATTACATATCATTTATTATATTATTTTATGTGTTACAGGCCTAAATAAAATGCTACATCAACATGGCCCAACGTGACCCAAACTCAGCTGCCAATACTACACAATTGCACATGAACCATATTTTCAGCAGACCCAGTCTTGGAAACCCAACTCGGTTTGAAACCCTAGAGTAGATTAGGTTTTCAAACTTTTCTCTTCTGTGCCGTAATAGTCTCGTCGCCACTCACTCATCCCAGTCGCTCGGTCAGACGCCATCCTCACGCCTCCAACCAGAGTTTCACCCCAAAGATCTTGGCACCCACGATACCAACAAACACAACAATATTGTTAATGTTCTAATAGGATTCAAACACCAAAAATAGGATAATAGGCACTATAAATAAGATGTAATCAATACACAATACCACATAAGATTGCACAAGGCAATAGGCAAAGGAAATAACAAGAATCGAAGCAAATCTCTTGTAAATTTCGAAAGAAAAAATAAACAAAAGGTATCGTTTTTTACCTTTTTTTTTGTTCCCTCGCACGTTTTGCTTGTCATTTGCTTTTGATTCGTAAAACCCAAAAAAACCAGAGTTTGGCCGATGAGCGAAAGGGAGTATTTTCGAAACTCATTTCCTAGATCTACTCTTCCCTAAAGATTGTTTTTTTTAAAAAAAAACTTTGATTTTTGAAAAGTGGTGGAAGAGAGCTATCGGAAAAGCAAAATTTTTTAGGTGGACCACCGCCGATGAACGGCGGCCGACGCCGATCCACGGCGATCGACGAGGCGGTGGCCACCGTGTGCTAGGTTTTGGTGCGGTGGCGTGTTCTTCATTTGAAGAACAAGGAAGAACAATTGAGAAAGTTCTAAAATCTCTCGTTTGATCCGTTTTGAGAGGGGGAGAGGAAATGAAGCTTGTTTATGGGTGTTTAACATTTATAGTGCTCGTTAAAACTGACCCGACCCGAGCGGATCCCCTAAGGGATCCACGTGTTTTTAAAAGAAAATGGGCTAATCCCAGTTTTGGTCCCCCTTCATCTTTAAAACTTTCATTTTCACCCCTTAATTCGTAATTTTGACACTAATAATATCCCAATTTGGTCACCCTATTTTATTTCTGTTCATTTTAATCCGACTATTATTATATGTACATAATTATTATTTATTTATTTATTCATTTTTATTTTTTTCGGTTTTTTTATTATTATTTATTTCTCTTTATATTTACTCTTTTTCTCTTTATATTTATTTTATTACTGTATTTATTTTTACTTTTTATTCTTGTTCTTATTTATTTATTTATGGTATATATTATTATTATTATTATTATTATTTTATTATATTATTTATTTTTTATTTTTATTTCATTTTTTATCTTTATTTTATTTATTTTATTTGCTTCCCTATCTTAACTTTATCTTTTTTTTCTTTACCATATTTCTTTTTTTTATAATATTTTTAACATTTTTATCTGTTGAGGGTATTTTCAATCAATCAGAGGTAAGTAATTTGGATCTTATTTTTTTTACTTTTACTTTAACTTACAATTTTCTTAATTAAAGAAAACTGAAAAATTATGTAGTACCGAAAGAGCAATTCAAGGGTGCTAATCCTTTCTTGACTGTAACCGACTCCCGAATCCAACACATCTTTGGTGAGATGTAGATAAGAAATAAGATATCCGATCAACCCATTTTTTTTAAAAAAAAATAAATGATCGATGTCGACTCAAATTCGTTTAATCCAAGTCGAAGCCCAATTTCGGAGCCAACCGAAAGGCGGTTCCGATAATGTGTTAGCATGTGTCACGCCACCTAAAATTATGAAGTAATATGTGTCACGTCACGATTTAAACATAGACATAATGTCAAAAATAACCCCTAAGGTTTACCAATATGATCATTTTGCCTCTTATTTTTTTGAGCATTTTGGCCCTCGATGTTTCATTTTAGGTTTGAAAGGCCCCTAACATTTCACAGTATAATCACTTTTACCCTTATTCATTTTCTGGTGTATTTTAGTTATCGATGTTTTATTTTAGGTTAAACACTTCCTATTTTAGAGTGTTAATAGTGTGTTAGCTAAAAGTTTTCATCTATAGAGGGATTTTTTGTCCCACACTGAAACATTGGGGCTAAAATGCTCTAGAAAAAAGAATAAGGGTAAAATATATAATTTTAATAAACGTTGAAGGACTATTTTTAATATTATCTTAAACATATATGAAATATCACGTCAGCAATATATATTGACTATTAATCAACAAACTATTTTCATCCAACAATAAATTATTTTGACTAAAAAGATTAAAACGTTGAAGCTTAAATGTTAGAAATAAAAATAGGTGTATAGCGAATATTTGTACAAATACTAGGGACTAAATCCGTCATTTTTCAGATTTTAAAATATTTATTAATTAGGGAATGGAATTCCACAATTCAAACCGACACAAAACAAGGACACCTTCAACCCACCATCGAGAAAGCCACCACAGCATCACTCTCTTACATGTCTTAATATCAAACAAACCTCCTTAGCTTTGCTCTGTTCTCTCTCACAAGGTTCACACTTTCCCATTGGCATAAACTTCTCCGTCTGAACCAGAAACCTACATTGTTACCTCCCTCAAGCTTCGCTTTTATCAGTTTCCACCCTTTTCTTCTCATCAACCATGGCTGCTGTTTTACTCCTTTCTTTGCTCATTCTCGCCATGACTGGCCACTCAAGTAAGCTCTTCAGACAATAGTTTCAAGTTGCTTTCTTTTTTCTTCCCGGAGAACTCATGTTAGATTTGATCTTTGTTTATGGCAAAAAAAAGATTAAATTTGTGTTTTTTTTTTGTTTGGTAGGTGCTGTGTGGTGCGTTTGCAAAGACAGTGTGGGTGAAGCGAACTTGCAGAAGACATTGGACTATGCTTGTGGAAACGGTGCTGACTGTAACCCTGTCCATTCAAACGGACCCTGTTACAACCCCAACACTGTTAAGGCACACTGCAGTTATGCTGTTAACAGCTATTTCCAGAAAAAAGGCCAAGCTCAGGGCTCCTGTGAATTTGCTGGCACCGCTGCTGTCACTTCAACTGACCCCAGTAATCTCTTTTTCTACTTACTTATTTTTCAAGCTTTTAAATATATCAAAACTTACTCTTTCTTTTTTATTTGGTGATTCTCAGGCTCTAATGGCTGTTCTTACCCTTCCAGCGCCAGTGGCAGGTACGCTGTAAATTTCTCGCTTTTACACCTCTTTTTCAACTGTTCATGTTCCATAAACATGGGAGCATTCGCCTCTGTTTACCAAATAAATAAGATTTTAATATTCCAAATTTTAAGGTCATTGTATGAGTTTTTTTAAATTTTTATTCAAATATATCTTGTTTAAAAATAATCTTTTATTCTAAAATTCGTTTTAGATTATTTTTTTAATCTAACGTAAGCGAAAGATATTTAAAAAAAAAGGTGGATTAGGCTAAAATAAAAATATAAAATATAAAAAATTTATACGAATTTTATTCAAAAAAGAATAAACATGCACAATAGGTCTCAAAGATACGTAATTATACGAGCATTAGTTGGATGGCAGTGACTGCGAGCATGTGTTAGTGTTATGTTCAGTAGCTGCTAAGAGTAATTCATGTGTGCTGCCATCATCACTCAGTCTCGTGTTCGTATAATTGTGTCTTTTCTTTAGGTAAAATTTATATGATTTTTCTTTTTATTATTCTTTCGTTTCAGTCTAATATGGGTCCGTGTTACTATCACCCAATTAGAAAGCAAGTCTTGCACGATGGACTTTCTGCTTACATGACGAAAAAGTTAGATTAAAAATTAATCTGTAATGGACTTTCTGCTTATGTTAGAGTTTTGAGGCTTCCCCACTTAATTAAAAAAAACTTATTTAGGTGGCAAAATTTCGGATGGATGTATAATTAGTGTACCTTGGGTCATAGTGTATTTATTTATATATTATTGGTCCACTTGCATAGATTTAGTCTAATGTTTTATCAAAGTTGGACCACCTAGGTTTTCAAAACATAAAACTTTAGATATTAAATGTAGTCGTATTAGAACTAGTATCTTTATATCGCCCATATAGGTGTAATCAGTAATGGGGCATCCAAGTTTCTATCATTGGAGAGGAGCGTAAAAGGCTTTACCTTTAGCTTTTTCTTTTTCACCCAAAAGAAAATCTTCACCGACCGTTGTCATTGAAATTATTATTTGCAATTCAAAATCCTAGCACTTTCGCCGCCGTTTCCTTTTTCACCTTTGAGCTTATCTTAATGAGCTGCTTATATCTGCTTTAAGTTAAATAGTGAACAGTGTAAAGGGGTTATCATTTTTTATGCTTTACTTGATGTTTGATACTTTTACATAGTGGTGTGAATTTTATGATATTTCTCGTCACCTCAAACTCTTACTACTTGATGTGATTTTTGATTGCGGAAAAGAAAACAAAAAAGTGTAATCACCGATTTCATGGTGGTGGGGCAATATCATTGATCCCTTTGAAAATGGACAAACCTTTGCATTGAGATCGGAGCCCTATTTTATGGAGATTTGCGATGCCTTGAAGGTGGTGCTCATGTTGTCTTTTCTTATACTATTACTTGGGTGCCTAGCGTTCCCCCATCTCATGGGACACCCTTCTGCTCTCACTTTATTCTGGTGCCATTACTTTGAACAGGGTGCATCGAATTGGATAGTCGAATCCTAATTAATAAATATAAGAGCAAGTAGCTCTTGTTATATGATTCATTGCTTTCTGGAAATATATATATGTTGACTCATTTTTCCTCCTCCTCTCGGATCAGTGGCACAGGCACGGGCATTGGCACAACACCAACTCCGGTGACAGGTACAAATCCATCAATCACCACGCCTACTATGAACTCGAGCACCAACATCCCAAAGGGCACAACACCAACCGGAGTGTTAGGAGGAGTGGGCAGCGGATTAGGCCCAACCGGGACCACCAGTACGACCAACACCGATTACAGCCATGGAGGGTTTCGGTTTCAACCCATTTCTTACCTCACAACCCTCATCGTGTTTTCGGGCTTCGTGCTATTACAGGGTTGACAATTACAATAGACCACCAATTTCTTCTATCTAAGGACATGTTAAAGCTATCTAAGGGGTTATTATTTTTTGGTTTTCTTCCCCACGTTGTGGTGTCCGATGGGTGTATTATCTATTTATTTTCTTTTTCGTGTTTTGATGTAAATCTAATTCTCTAGGGTTGAAGTAAATTATTAATTAAAACAGAATTTGACGCCACAAGATTATCCTTTACTTAATTTGCTAGTAATTTGGATGTGCTGCAATTCATTTTATATTATAATTTATTAAGTCAAATAATTATATTTTTGATGCAGTTTTTACGACACAAGTATTTTATACTTGAGGACCTCTAATATAAATGTGATCAGCAGTAACCCTAAATGCTAGAAATAAGGAATGAAACAAGAACAAACATTCGTAATAATTTCTAATACGTGAATAAGCTCAACACAACACTGTTTTGAGACATTTTGTTCCTCTAAAATCGCTTTCTCGACACTTACTCTCCATTTTAAACTAACCCTTTTTATGTGTTTTTATATAGTATCATAGAAACCTGATTTCGACTCCGGAGGGACAATAAACATGAATTTTGATGTGATTACCATGGAAGGTGGTGCAATCATCGATGAAAGCAAAGCAACCCTAATGGATAAATAGTGGCTGAGTTTAGCCATGGTTTACTGGGGTTTATTTGATGATTTGATATTGAGAGGTATCGATTGGTAACTTTTAAGTTGAAACTCAAATTTTTTAATACTAAATTGTTTAATTTTGTATTTTTAAAATGTTTTTGTATGTTCTTTGTTAGTTAATAACGTTCACATTCATAATACATTGCGTGCGTGTGAGGTTTTAGTTATAAAGTTGCAGTGAGTTTTCTATTACAAAATAGTTCATGTTGTTATGTAAGTGGTTGCAATCTGTTATGGTTGTTAGCTAGGTGATTAAGAGCTATAAAAGGTTAATATACTCACTGTGTAATTTGAGCTCAATAATACATATTCCTCTTTTACTCTAAAAGTTGTTTGTTCATCATGGTATCATTCGCCTTACGTTCATGAGGTTCTTTTTCTTTGCTACGTCGTCTTCTTGGAGAGATTGACTCTTCGTCTGGTAAATCATTCACAAACAAAAAGGTGAATATCATTTTTGATGAGTCTAATTTATTACTCTAAAAGCAACAAGTTTTACTTATTGTTCGTAGTCACTGGCTTGAGCGCTTATTGACTGGTTCGGTGCAACCTCTGTCTGCGTTTGTGGTCGATGAGAATGGTGAGTCTGTGCCGAATGATTTGTATGATGACTTTGTGGCACAAGATAGTGCACTCGCTTCTTGGTTGCTGTCGATGATCAGTCCCTATTTGCTTTCTCAATTCGTTGGTACCGAGACAGCGGTGATTGTTTGGAACATAGTTTTACAGTTCTTTACAAACCGTTCTACCACGACGGTTATTAGCCTTCATTACAAGCTTCAATCACTCAAGAAAGGTGATGATAGTATGTGAACCTACCTCACTCGAATCAAGGATGTAAGTGATGCATTGGCGTTTTGTGATAGTGTGATTTCCCCGACAAAGCAAGTTGCGAGTATTTTGAAAAGGCTCTCCAGGGAATACCAACCGTACGTTGCTTTTATCACCACCATGAAGGAGTCGCTGTCTCTTGATAAGGTATGCTCAATGTTGATCTATACTGAGACTCGGCTTGCTAGATTTGATGCTCAAGGAGAATTGCTTCTGATGAGTGTTCATGTGACTCATAAGAGTTCTGATTCGAAATAGGGTGACTCAGGTTCTTACAATAAATATGTATATCATCATGATTACATTTCTACTGCTCGTTCTGAAGGACGAGGACGTGGGCAACCACGGGTTCAGTGCCAACTTTGTGGCAAGAATGTATACTTGGTGGTTGATTGTTGGTATCGCTTTGATCAGACATTCTCTGGTAGGTCTTCTGGTCGTAGTTCTTATCGGGATAACACTGGTAGTGCCAACTACTCCAGTCTTGAAGCAGTATCGGTAAGTGGTGAGGCATGTTCCTGTTGTGCTAATGGTCATGTTGAAGCTCATGTTACTACAACTAATCATGAACAATGTGTGGTTGAATCTGGGGCAACTCACTAAGTGACACCTAATGCATCTGCAATTGGCCATAAGAGTTACTTATCTGGTCCAGGTAAATTAGTTGTTGTTAACGATGTATCACATCCTATTCATTCTACTGGAAGATCTATTTTATGCTCCAATTCACGAGCCTTGCTGCTAAATGATTTATTGCATGTTCCTAAGATAACAAAAAATCTACTATCGGTGTCAAAGTTTGCTAGGGATAATGGTGTCTATTTTGAGTTTTGTGATGCGCATTGTTGTGTTCGAGATGAGAAGTCTGGTGAAGTCTTGTTGCAAGGAGAAGAACAAGATGACCTTTACTCTTCTCAGGTGGATATTGCTGCTAGTTTTAGCAGTCAAGCAGAAGTACATTCTATAGTTGCTTCAAATAATTTGCATGACCTTTAGCATAGACGCCAAGGGCATCTTGTACATGAGACTCTAGAGCAAGTTTGTAAAATACTCAATGTACTTATTGATAAGTGTTTTTAATGAATAATGTGTTGCTTGTCACATGGGCAAAAGCCATAAGCTTCCTTTCACTGCTTCATATATTGTTTATACCTCTCTATTTCAATAGGTTTATACTGATTTGTGGGGACCTTCTCCTATTGTCTCCAATGGTTATCGATACTATAAAAGTTTTTTTATGATTGCACACGTCATACGTGGTGTTACTTGCTTAAAGATAAGCCACAAGAACTTCATGCTTTCCATCTGTTCCAGCAATTTGTTTCCACTCAGTTTGGATCGAAGATTTTAGCTGTTCAGAGTGATTGGGGAGCTGAATTTCACAGTCTGTCTCGTGTTCTTCTTATAGTTGGTATATCGTATCGCTTGACTTATCCTCACACATCTGAGTAGAATGGTGTTGTGGAAAAAAAAAGCATAGGCATGTTGTTGAGCTTGCTCTTGTGCTTCTTGCTCAAGCCTCCATGCCAATTCAATTTTGGTCTTATGCAGTAGTGATGGTTGTACATTTTATTAACAGGTTGCTAACGAAAGTTCTACAAGGACTTTCTCCGTTTTAGTCGTTGTTTCATAAAAAAACCTGATTATAGCTTGCTGAAGGTCTTTTAGTGAAGGTGTTTTCCTTACTTGTGACCATACAATCGCCATAAGCTGGACTTTCGCTCAAAGCCATGCCAATTGTTAGGTGTCATTCCTCAGCATAAAGGTTTCCTTTGTCTTGGATCGAATGGTTGAGTTTATGTTTCGAGGCATGTTAAGTTTGATGAGTGACAGTTTCCCTTTGCAGATAAAAGTATTGATAGATAACGTGTTTCCCCTTTATAGTCTCCTCACATGTCACTTGAAGTTATGATGGATGTTCATAAGTTACGTGGTGTGGCTGCTGAGGTGTCAGGAGGTCAAGGTGCATCTGGTTATTCTCCTTCTGGTTTTGAGGAGTCAGCCATGCCTACATGTGATAATGAAACACAGGTTGCTTCAACGTCCCAAGAGGAACATGCTCTGTCTGATGTTTGTATGCAAAATCCAGTGGGTAATCATCATCCTATGTTAACTCACAGTAAATATGGTGTTTACAAGCCAAAGGTTTACACAAGCTTCTTTGATGATAATGTACCATCTAATGTGCATGATGCTCTACTGTCACCTAAGTGGGCAACAACAGTCAATGTTGAATATTCCGCTTTGCTCCATAATAAAACATGGACTCTAGTTGAGTTGTCAGGCGATAGGAGTGTTGTTGGGTACAAATGAATGTTTAAACTTAAAAGAAATCATGATGGCACTGTTCACCGTTACAAAGCACGTTTAGTTGCAAATGGGTTTTCTCAAATTCTTGGTCATGATTTCAAGGATACGTTTAGTCCAGTTTCAAAGTTTGCAATGGTTTATGTTATTCTTGCTATTGTTGTTGCTAAGGGATGGTCATTATGACAAGTGGACATTAATAATGCTTTTTTGAATGGTGACTTGGCTGAAGATGTCTATATAGAACAACCCCGAGTTTTGATCAGTTCAGTTCTGATGGATCTTCGCTGGTTTGTAAACTGCAAAAAGCCTTGTACGGTCTTCAACAGGCTCCACATAATTGGAATGAAAAGCTCAAAGGTAGCTTGTTTGAGTTAGGGTTTATGGAGTCACGTGTTGATATTTTCTTGTTTGTTAGTGTCAATGACGGTTCATGCTCATACATTCTAGTGTATGTGGACGATATAGTAATCACATGAAGCTCGGATGATGATATTGAGACTGTTGTACAAATATTGAATATAAGATTCTCATTCAAGGATCTTGGTTCCCTTTCTTATTTTCTGGGAATTGAGGTTAAAAGGAATGGTGGTGGTTTGGATCTTAGTCAAGGAAAGTATGTCATTGACTTGCTGGAGAAGACAAATATGCTTCAAGCCACTCCAACGTGTACTCCTATGGTAGCTGCCTTTAAATTTACAGGACAAAATAGTGTGTTATTATCCAATGCGCATAAGTACTAGAGCATAGTTAGTGCTTTGCTCTAGTCTGTCATACTAGACCTCATGTTGCATTTTTAATTAACAAGGTTGCCCAGTTTACGCAGGCACCTTGTGAGGAGCATATACTGGCTATCAAACGTATCCGACACTATTTGGTCGGTACCTTAGATTATGGATTGGTATTCTCAGCTGTGGATGCTAGATTGAGTGTGAAAATGTTTTCTTATACTGATTAGGCTGGTGATGCTGGCGATCGACGGTCTATGTCTTGTTATGGTGTTTTTCTTGGTGATTGTCTTATTGTCTGGGCCTCAAATAAACAAAAGACAATGTCTCGTTCAACCATGGAAGTTGAATACCATAGTATTGTAGAAGTTGTTGCTAAGGTAACGTGGATTGATGCTTTATTGAATGATCTTGGTCTACAGTCACTTGATGGACCTATCATTTGGTGTGACAATACGAGTGTAATTGCTATGACTACTAATCCAGTTTATCATGCAAAGTCAAAGCATGTTGATCTTGTTATTCATTTTGTTAGGGAGAAGGTTGCATCAAGCTAGCTTCGAATGAGTTATGTGCCTGTTGGATTTTAGGTTGTTGATGGCTTCACTAAGCCCTTGGTAAAAGAATCATTTGAAGTGTTCTGAGAAAAGGTTA